AGCCTTGCCAAAACTTCCGACTTTTGTCCAAGAATTTTTTCTTCCAAAAGATGGATAATTATTCATTAAATAAGCTATAAAAATGTCCTAATCCACTCTTAACTACTATGCAGCCGGAACTTTTCTTTCGGCTAGTAGTTAAATTAGATGAAAGTTTTGGTAAAAGTGGGTAAGGTTATAGCCTTGCCAAAATTTCCGATTTTTCACCTAAAATTTTTTCTTCTTAAAGATGAATAATTATTTATTAAATAAGCCATAAAATTGTCCTAAGCCACTCCCAATTTCTTTTAAAGCCTTAACTTTTCTTTTAACTAGTAGTTTAATTAGATGAAAGTTTTGGTAAAAGTGGCTAAGGTTATAGCCTTGCTAAAATTTCCGACTTTTCACCTAGAATTTTTTCTTCCAAAAGATGAATAATTATTTATTAAATAAGCCATAAAATTGTCCTAAGCCACTCCCAATTTCTTTTAAAGCCTTAACCCTTTCATTGTCATCAAAATATATGCAATTTTGGGTTCTGTTATTCAAAAAATTGTTAAAAATTGAAAGATACAGTTTAGACACTGAAATTTCAGAACTTAGCCCTATATTGATAAAATTATTGAATACTGGTAAGCATTTTAGAATATTTTAAGCCAATTAGTGATAATTGGCCTCTAATTAGCATATTTTTACTTTTCGATCACTTAAATTTCTTCTTACTTTTCAAATACCTCAGAATATATTTGAGATACCCATTTTTTGATGGAATTTTCAAATTTCTCAGCATCCATTTACCTAGAGTTGAATTTTTTGTTAGAATTGTACTTCCAGGAAGGAAAATAATCAACATTTTCTTGTAACCATTCATAGAGCTCGTTAGTTGAAATATCACGAAAATATCACGAATGTCAACAAAAAGCAGAAAGATTTTCAACTTTCTAAATATTCTAAAATCTGAAAATCACAGTTGTAAAACAGCACAAAGTTTCTTCTGTTAGAAATGTTAACAACATGTTAATGATAATAGTTAACAGTTAGTCATATACCCCCAAAACAGCAAATATCAATTAAAGATAAAAAAGTGTCCAGAAATAAAAAGTCAACTATGACGACAATGCTCTAAGTATGGTTCCTTGTATTGGCTGAATTCTGCAGAATGAAAGAAAAGGAAGCAATTCCTTTCACCAATACATAGAGGAATGTCACATTCAACACAGGCAAACATGGACCTTTTAGGTCTTTTTGTGTTGTTACTTGCATGCACAGCAGAAAGCACAGAGCAAACTTTACAGATGCGGGGCTTGTCCAGTTTAACTGGTAAATGACCAGGGGTCATTCTTCTATCCCATTCTTGTTCTTTGGTGCACCTCTCTCTGTTTTTAGCTGCTTGGTTTGAAATTCTTTTGACAGCATGTGATGTTGCTTCACTTGCAAAGCTATCAATGTCATTTGTTTTTGTATCAAGAGAGGCATACGGCTGAATTCTATTTGCATCTCCAAAATCTTTGATTGCCTTTTGGTCTGTTACAGCCAGTTGTTTCACCAGATCCATCTTGAAATTTAAGAATGTATATTTTTCTGGCATTTTTTGTTCAGGAGTGGGGTTTTTCAATTCAGACCAAAAGACAAATGCATTCCACAAAGCAATATCAATAAAATGAAAGAAAAGTGTCTTCCAAAACTTCTTGGTTCGATATTGCACAGAATACAATCGATACATTTGGTCTGAAAGATCAACTCCATTCATGTCATTATTATAATCTTTTATGCACTGTGGCATCATGATTTCAACCCTCCTATGATGACCACCATCTTTCAGATTTCTTCTACAATAGCCAAAGTCATTTGCAGAATGATAAGTGGAAAGAATGGAAACAACATTTCTATCAACCCACTGAAGAAGTAAAACATCATGAGGGCTTGCACCAACCCTTTCATACCTCACTGTTCCTCTGTCCTTATTTTTACCCCATGCAGCCCTGTTTTTCATTGTTTCTGGAAAAGAAGATGTGTTTTCTCTTATGGTTCCAACTGCATGTATGCCAACAGATGAAAGGTATCGGAATAAAGGAATGCTTGTATAATAGTTATCAACAAACAGTATGTATCCCTTATTCTTCAAAGGCTCTGTCAGCTTGATAACGACTCTTGCTGCTAGCTGAGACAATAAGCCAGAAGTCTCATCTGCAACTGACATGGGCCTTTGTCTACCCAATCCTTCAGGTATTCCTCTAAAGTTGTCTTCATTCACTGTGAAGTCATCCCAGCCATCGCCTCTCTTTCTGCCAGTATAGACCACCATATCCCAATTATAGCCAGTGGAAGAGTCTGCTAAGACCCATAATTTAAAACCCCATTTTGTAGGCTTATTTCGAATGTATTGTTTGAAAAAGAATCTTCCTTTAGACTTCACCATCCTTTCATCAATGGAAACACAACGTTTTGGAACAAAAAGTTCTTTACATCTGCTGCGAAGAAAGTCATAAATATTTCTAATTTTGGACAAAGGATCCAATCTGTCTTCATTAGCTGGATCAACACAGTGCAAGGCTGCAAGAATTGCACAATACCTTCTAAATGTTGGCAGAAACATTGACCCTAACAATCCGGAAAAAAGGACATCATTTTGCCAATAGTTTTCCCGTGTCGGTGTCTTGACAATGCCCATATAAATTAGGCAGGCCAGAAACCTGCGAAACTCCATCATATCAATTTTTCTCCATGCAAGCTCACCATGAGACTGTGCCATGTAACTTTTGCCAATCCCTTCACCGTGAACAGCATACAAGTTTGAATTATTTACAATAGTTTGCATCAGCTGGAAAGGAAAGAAAAGAAGAAAAAAGTCCAGAGCTTTTTTCGGTTCTTGTCCTCTTCCCCACACAATGACTGGCCCAGTTTCTGCAACATTGTGGGCTGGAATGGGCTTTCTGGGGTTGTCTCCACAGTACCCTTTCAATTGTGCCTCATCATTTCCATCATCTTCATGTTCAGTAGAACCATCGCTCTCATATTCGTCTTCATCAAGTCCTCTGGCATCAGCTGCAGGCAAATCCAGTGCAGTTTCTGGTACATTATCAGCACTTCCGGTGGACTTTTTGATTCTAAATATAAAAAGAACATTGTAAAAAATGAAGTCTGGAAAGTTGGATATTGTGTAGCTATGACCTCCAGGTCAACTCAATATTGGCAAACTTCAATCTACCCAGTCAAAAAGCAAAAACGGGCAGACAAACAAAAAATGGAACGATCGGAAAGCTACTAAAATCGAATAATTTTAGAGAAATCCTAGCACCACAAAATGCTTACAATAAAAAATAAAATACTCTCATGAAAAAATCAAAATATCATTTACGTTTTCCGTAGATCTATTTTCCCCATTATTCTCAAATATTCATTCGCTTTTACTCTTGAAACCTGCCTGCAATTTATCTGCTTCGCGTAATCAGCTGATTGTAGCCAACATGGCTAGGCCTGTTGCAAACAACAACACAAACGTAACACATGGGCGATGGTTTGTACATTGTATTTGTTTTAAATGGATCAGAATGATATCAGTGTGGATAATATTTATCTATTTTAGTCGTAAATTGAACTAAAATTCCTTACCTTTGAGGGGGTAACTGATCAACACCTCCGTATCTCCCTTCCCTTCTCCGTTTCGACCCACGTTGTTTTGGGGCATCGCAAGTCTCTGATTCCGGCAATACAAACTGGATCTCAACTTCTCTGCCAGCAAGCAATTGACAGTCTATTTCATACTCTTCGTCTGAGTCCAAACCATTGAAGCTTTCCATATTAAATCGATCAAAAAATCGCGACGAAGGTAACAATCGTTTCGAATCGAACAGCAAAAATGGCGTTCGTCTGTTCTAATCAACTCTCGCGGGATTTGTTAAAATATGCAATTTAAGCGCATAATTCCATGGGAATAGTTGACAAAATGATTCTTGTATCACCATTGGTCAGTTTCCTGCATAAATTTTTAGTGAAAATTCAAAATAGCTGCATATTTTAATGAAAGTTTTCTCTATGGGGTATCACGTGGTCCTTAAACGCAATATATTGCGCCTAGACAATGAAAGGGTTAAGCAATATCTCTTTCCGTAATCACTTGAATGCTCTACATTTATAAAGCACCTGGTGCAAGTTTGGAAACGGGATCAATGGCAAAGTAAAAACTGAATGCAAGATATTTTGTACAGGATTCCTCTATTTGCTAAGAATTGGGTAACAAGTCATCGAAGAGCCAGAAGACACTCAGACAGAGGCTCGGTACATCAAGAACAGTATTCTAAAACTACAATAAAAGGATACCAGAGAATCGTACGCTCATGCGTATCTTTAAGAAAAGAAATTTTTAAACAACAATTTTTTGTCTTCGAGCTTGAATCCCAAGCATTTTGCATTGCACTGTTGCTCGGTGGGGGATGAGTACCTTGAATGTTTGAAAGGACCGGAACATGCCATCGTTTGGGTGCCTTTTCTGAAAAGTGTGGAATTATCGGTTCCAGTTGTTTGAAATATGTGCCGAACTAATGGCGAAATGCAGCATTATGGTTCGGATTTTGGGAAAATGTTGCAAATGTATTTGAGGGACCAATTTAGCATTACAACAAATGGCATGAACAGTTAGAAATGAAACTATGGAATATGGTGTAACATAAGGAATTTTGGCAAAGGACATGCAAATGTGTTAGACTAATTCTCTTGTGCTTTAAAATGTTATCTTAATTTGTGTGAATTTGGATATATTCATCATGTTTGCAAAATTATGGACACATTTCGTCCAACCATATGACGATTATGGAGTCCAAATTGTTTAGCCAAAATGCACGTCCACTGTCCAAAAAAGGCTTAACCACCCTCCCGAGCACTGGTGTCTAAACACTGATCCTTTCCGACCATTCAACAGGAACTGGCAAACAGAAAATATCAGCAAAACGAAATTTTTCATGGAAACTTTTACTTGAGCTTCATTAGGACTTATTGATGAAAATATTCTTGAAAACGCGCCAAATACCCAGAGCTGTTCCTTTCCATTTGAGGTACTACGATTGCTCTAAACGCTTCTTCTAATTTTCCTTTAAACATCACTAAAAGCAGACGAAACTTAAACAAAAAAACAACATTGCAGCTTGATTCTTTATTAATATAATTCAGAATGTAAATCATAGAAAGGCAGCATCAGCAAAACGTTGAATACATACTGTTATAATGTTTGTGTTTTATTTGTTTAGTTTCGTCCTTGCTGAAGTGATGTTTAAGAAAATTATGAAGAAAGGTTTTAAAGGAAGCATCGGTAGTACCTCAAATTACTGGAAAGGAAAGCTCTGGGGTATTTGCGCGTATCCAAGAAATTTTCATCATAAGTCCTAATGAAGCTCAAGTAAAAGTTTCCATTGAAAAAATTTCGTTTTTTGCTGAATTTTTCTGTTTGCAGTTTCGTTGAATGGGTCAGGAAAGGATCAGTGTTTGACACCAGTGCTCGGGAGGGGGGTGTAAGCCATTTTTGGACAGGACGTGCAATTTTGGACTAAACATTTGACCCATAATTCCGCATATGTTGGACGAAATGTGTCCCATATTTTGCAACAACTGATGAAGTATATACCAAATTCCATCAATTAGATAACATTTCTTAAAGCACAGAGAATATCAAAACACATTTTTGCATGTCCTTTGCCAAATTCTTAATGTTACAATAATTCCAATAGTTTCATTTCTAACCTGTTCATCCATTTTGCTCAATGCTAAATGTCCCTCCAAATAATTTCTGCACATATTCCCCAAAATGATGACCTAATGCTGCATGTTTCGCCCATAGTTCCGCACATATTTCAAAATCTGATACCGATTAATTACCACACTTTTCAGAAAAAGGCACCCCTAACGATGGCATGTTCCGTACCTTCAAACATGTCAAGGGAACCATCCCCCCACCGAGCCATCAGTGCAATGCAAAATGTTTGGGATTCAAGCTTCGAAGGCAACAAAAAGATGTTGTTTTAGAATTTTCTGTTTCTTAAAGAATGCATGACAGTACGATTTCCTGCTATCCCTTTATTGTAGTTTTAGAATCTGTTCGTGAATTGTTACCGAGCTCTCTAGTGTCTTCTTCTGGCTCTTCGATGACTTGTTACCCATTCTTGCAAATAGAGAATCCTGTACAAAAATATCTTGTCATCATCAGTTTTCTTTGCCATTGATCCGTTCCAAACTTGCACGAGTGCTTATAAATGTTAGGCATTCAAGTGATTACGGAAAGAGATATTGCTTAACCCTCTTCATTGTCTAGGCGCAATATATTGCGTTTAAGGACCACGTGACCACATAGAAGAAACTTTCATTAAAAATATGCAGCTATTTGAAATTTTCACTAAAAATTATATGCAGAAACTGACCAATGGTGATACAAGAATCTATTTTGTCAACTATTCCCATGGAATTATGCGCTTAAATTGCCATATTTAACAAAATCCCGCAGGAGTTGATTAGAACGACGAACGCCATTTTTGCTGTTCGATCGAAACGATTGTTACCTTCGTCGCGATTTTTTGATCGATCTTTAAGTATGGAAAGCTTTCACATGTTTGGACTCAGAGACGAAGTATGAAATAGACTGTCAATGCTGCTGGCAGAGAGTTGGAGTCCAGTTTTATTGCCGGAATTCAAGACTTCGCGATGCCCCAAAACAACGTGGGTCGAAACGGAGAAGGGAAGGGAGGATCGAGGTGTTGATCAGTTACCCCCTCAAGGTAAGAGATTTTTAGTTTCAATTTTACGACTAAAAATGATTAAATATTATCCACACTGATATCATTCTGATCCATTTAACAAAATACCAATGTTACAAACCATCGCCCATGTGTTACGTTTGTGTTGTTGTTGCAACGGCCTAGCCATGTTGGCTACAATAGGCTGATACGCGAAGCAGAATAATTGCAGGCAGGTTCAAGAGTAAAGCGAATAATATTTGAGAATAATGGGAAAATAGATTCTCGGAAAACGATAAAAATGATATTTTGATTTTTTCCTGAGAGTATTATTATTTTTATTGTAAGCATTTTGTTGTGGTGCTAGGATTTCTCTAAAATTATTCGATTTTAGTAGCTTTCCGATCGTTCCATTTTTGTTGTCTGCCCATTTTTTGCTTTTTGACTGGTAGATTGAGTTTTGCCAATTATTGGTTGACCTGGAGGTCATAGCTACACAAGTATCCAACTTCCAGACTTCATTTTTTTACATGTTCTTTTTATATTAGAATCAAAAAAGTCCACCGGAAGTGCTGATAATGTACCAGAAACTCACTGGATTTGCTGCAGCTGATGCCAAGGACTTGATGAAGACAGAATTGAGAGCGATGGTTCTACTGAACATGAAGATGATGGAAATGATGAGGCACAATGAAGGGTACTGTGGAGACAACCCCCAGAAAGCCCATTCCAGCCCACAATGTTTGCCAGAACTGGGCCAGTCATTTGTGGGAGAAGAGGACAAGAACCGAAAAAGCTCTGACTTTTTTCCTCTTTCTTTCCTTTCCAGCTGATGCAACTATTGTAAATAATTCAAACTTGATTGCTGTTCACGGTTAGAAGGGATTGGCAAAAGTTACAGGCACAGTCTCATGGTGAGACTTGCATGGAGAAAATATTGATATGAATGAGTTTCGCAGATTTCTTGCCTGCCTAATTTATATGGGCATTGTCAAGACACCGACACGGGAACTATTGGTCAAAAATGTTGTCCTTTTTTCCGAGTTGTTAGGGTCAATTGTTTCTGCCAACATTTAGGAAGTATGTGCTATTCTTGCAGCCTTGCACTGTGTTGATCCAGCTAATGAAGACAGATTGGATCCTTTGTCCAAAATTAGAAATACTTTATGACTTTCTTCGCAGCAGATGAGAACTTTTTTGTTCCAACAACGTTGTGTTTCTCATTAGATGAAAGGATGTGGAAGTCTAAAGGAAGATTCTTTTTCAAACAATACATTCGAATAAGCCTACAAAATGGGGTTTTTAAATTATGGGTTCTTAGCAGACTCTCCACTGGCTATAATTGGGATATGCGTGTTATACTGGCAGAAAGAGAGGCGATGGCTGGGATGACTTCACCGTGAATGAAGACAACTTTAGGGAATACCTGAAGGATTGGGTAGACAAGGCCCGTCAGTTGCAGATGAGACTTCTGGCTTTATGTCTCAGCTAGCAGCAAGAGTCGTTATCAAGCTGACAGAGCCTGTTGAAGAATAAGAGATACATACTTTTGTTGAATAACTATATACAAGCATTCCTTATTCCGATACCTTTCATCTGTTGGATACATGCAGTTGGACCATAAGAGAAAACACATCTCTCTTTTCCAGAAACAATGAAAAACAGGGCTGCATGGGTAACAAATAAGGACAGAGGAACAGTGAGGTATGAACAGGTTGGTGCAAAGCCCTCAGATGTTTTACTTCTTCAGTGGTTGAAGAAATGTTGTTTCCCATTCTTTCCACTTATCATTCTTGCAAATGACTTTGGCTATTGTAGAGAAATCGAAAGATGGTGTCATCATAGGAGGGTTGAAATCATGAGCACAGTGCATAAAAGATATATATAATGACATAATATGAGTTGATCTTTCAGACCAAAATGTAATCGATGTATTCTGTGCAATATCGAACCAAGAGTTTTGGAAGACACTTTCTTTCATTTTATTATATTGCTTGTGGAAATGCATTTGATCTTTGGTCTGAATCTGAAAAACCCCACTCCTGAACAAAAATGCCAGTAAAAATATACATCTCTAAATTTCAAGATGGTTCTGGTTGAAAACAACTGGCTGTAACGACAAAAGGAATCAAAGGATTTTGGAGATGCAAATAGAATTCAGCCGTATGCACTCTCTTGATACAAAAACAAATGACATGATAGCTTTGCAAGTGAAGCAAACATCCACTGCTGTCAAAAGAATTTCAAACCAAGCAGCTCAAAACAGAGAGAGGTATGCACCAAAGAACAAAGATGGATAGAAGAATGACCCCTGGTCATTTACCAGTTAAAACTGGAACAAGCCCCGCATCTGATAAAGTTTGCTTTGTGC